CGTAGTGAAAACACTATGCGATCAAAAAACAGAGAAACAAATCGTTTATATGTGTACACTTGGTAACAGTTGGTATACAACCGAAAGGATCTATCTATTAACAGCTATAAACCATAGTCCTACACTAAAGTATAAAAAAAGCGAATACTTTATATTGTTGGCGTAAGGTTGATACGTGGGCAATTTTTGTTCACGATCGTTTAAGAATTATTTGCCAACTCGCCGACAGACATTGTCATACAATAGCATATTTAATGGACGAAACTGAGAATATTTTCACTGGGAACTTCACACGACTCATACTCATTGTTGAGTCCAAATAAAGCTACCGTGAACTTGAAACAAACATTACGGCGCGTGTACATTATTAGAAATTCGTTGTGTCTCCAACAGAAAAGACGAGAATGGCCTTGTACACAACAAGAATTTTGTCGGATCTAGGCACGAAAATATTTTGTGTCTGTTGTAGACCAGAAAATGATGAGTATGTACACGATACGAATGCATTCGGGCAGACGTATGTAGGGTAAACGTGTCAGTGCACTTCCAGGTAGCTGTCGTTTTTCTACCGACTGTGTGAAGAAATATGTTGACTACTAATAACAAAAATGGTGATTGCAAATTATATCTGTAGAATAATAAATATTTCTCTCCATGCCTCAAAAGTACGTCGTTTATCGTTATAAATCTCTAAGGTTTTGTCCCACAATACGGTCGTTCCTCTACTAACCTTATAAATAAATCATGCATTTTATTAGTCGCAATGAAATTAGTAGTGCAAGATTGGTACTTTGCAAAATCGGTCCACGCGCATAAACGTTCGTTTACTGACATTGCACCCTATGCAATAGCGACAGAGCGCGTCGCGTCGAGAGTAGACAAGATTTTTTTCTTGTCCGACGCCTAGGCTGTGTACACAGTTCGTGTGTAAAAAACGACACGAATTTTTGCATAGACCCGGCGACTTTTCTTAGCGTATACACGCGCCCTTAGGGTTATGTAGATAAATTAACGTTATTTTCTGTAGTGCTGCGGGATATTCGCTACTGGACAAGCTATTTTTCTGTTGTTATTTTAGTATTGCCTGCTATTACCGCCAATCTTCATTCGACTTGCGTCTATTTAAAGAAATGTACGTATATGCCTTTTCGACCTGACGAACCTGGGGCCTACTCCCATTCTGTTCGATGTCCGTCCGAAACAGTTACTGTCAAATAAGTAATACTCGACCGAATAGAATAAAAGACGCATGTTGCGAATGAAGCTTCATACGTGGCATTGTCTTTTGATTTGGTCTAGATTACTTACTGCTCTCAGTCGCACCTTACGGTTTTCTCTTACTCTTTCTTTAAACAGCCCTATCCATTCTTCCAACTTCTATTCCAACTCCTTCAAGGTCCTGCCTGAATCGATCAGACGCGCTAAGTCTGTTAAGTCTTACACATATCTACTCAAAGCTCATTATCTTACACTCTAATTATCATTATTTTCTCCTATTCTTACCTGTTTTGCCAGTTTTAGATCGCCCGTGTTGTTATTATTATGTTCCATATAATCCTACTTCGTTTTGTGTAATCATATGTATTTTTTCTGTTATTTATTTATTTTATTTATTTAATTATTTCATTATTTATTACTATTATTTTGGATATCTGTTTTAGACTTTTTTTCTCACTTGTGTATGTGCAATATGTATTTTAAATACGAATTCTATTGCGCCCTCAATTAATTATTATCTCACAGTTTTTCCTGTAACCCGAAGGTTGCCTGGAAGAGACTGCTATATAGCAATAAGGCCGCCTGTTGCACCTGTTTTATTTTTATTTTTTGTATTATTTTGTATTTGTCCTAGTGTGCAATAAAGAATATTTGTATTGTATTGTACTTATTTAGCAGTAATTATTTCGGACGGATGTTGTACGGAGAACGGGAGTAGACACCCTGGTTGCAATAACCATAAGGCTCAATTTACATTGGCGTTGAATCGAATGCAAGCTAATTTTTATAACCGTAACATCTTAACACTTTATCTTAATTATGTAACGTACAAACTAGATACGAACCAAAAATAGGCCTAATTTGTACGTTACTCAATTGACGTAAAGGTATTATGGTATGTACAATTTCGTCACAAAAATTCGCTTCCAATCCAGCCTTCGGCAATGTAAATTGCACCTAAAGATTAACTACTAAGGCATCGAGATTATCTATATACATGAGGTTGCTTCGAAGAAAGTGGTACTTGCCAATAACTCTGCCTACTTTACATTGTCTGATTGTAATATACTAACGTTATTTAACTTTTTTTTGTAACATCAAGTGACGGGACAAACAGGTCGTGCGCCTGATGGTAAGTTATTGTCGTTGCAGTGCCACTCAGAGCTTTAAATCGCAAAGATCTGAGGGGCACTGTCATTGCGCCCGTCACCCTGAGACGTAAGTTGACAAGTCCCATATGCCTGCAATTTCACCAGCACCCTTCAAAACCGGAAAGCAGTAATGCTAACATTACTGCTTGGCAGCAGAAATAGATACGGTGGCAGTACTTCCCTGGACGAACTCTTTCACAAGTAGTTCTACTGATACTAAACTTTGTGTTGTCATTCCATTCATTAACATTGCATAGACACATGCAAACGTTTTATTTACTCACACATTTATACAAAAAAACACTATATCAAAATATATGTATATAAAATATAATAAATATGAGACAGAGACAAAACACTGGTTTCAAACTAGAGACGCCTCTGTACTATGAGTAATTGTGTATAACGTAGTGTTCTTGGGGCCACTACCCATAACTCCCGCAACCGCAAGGAATTGATTTATAACTGAACCCTGTAAAGAACCGCGAAAATCGTCCTTAACTTGTGTCATTGCCGTTTCACCATTGCCTAAGGCCTAAACAAACCGAAGGCGAGGTGGTCTAAGTATCATTTCGAATGATTCAACGCTTACAGCCCGACGTTACCGCGTTACATAACAAAATAAATCTTTAATGTTTAGGTCACACTCGACTGGTTTTTGTTCAGTGATTTAGTGACAATCTAGCTCTTACGGACGACGGAGGACTTCGGTAAGGTTATTTAACTTTTAACTGTGTGTCACTTGTTTACTTTTTTATTAAAACGTGCATTAAATTTTGGCCAAATTATTTTTGTAAAGAAGTCATTTAAGGTTCTTCTTACATTCTGTAATGCACAGTAAATTTAATGTTAATGTTACCAATTAATAATGCACGTCAATCATATGGATCTTGGATCACTTACATTTCAGTTATAAAACCTATTGCAATGATTTTGAAGAGATAATCGAACATAATTTTGATAATTTTAAAGAAGATCGTAAAAACTGTGTACCTATATAACATTTTTTAACTATTAGAGACGAGTGGTCTATTTTTGAATAACAAATAATTACTTACGCATTAGACAACATCACATACGGTGCTCTGATCCCAAAGCACTTGTGTTATGGAAATCGAAAACAACGAGACGGTACCACAAACACCCACCCCTGAGGTAATATAGAAACGTTAGTTTCTATATTGACCCGCCCGGAGATCGAAAACGGGACCTCAGAGACGGCGACACCATGAAAACCGATGTGCAAGCCACTTGACCACGGAGCTCGTCTATGTCAATTGGATTTTTTTTAATAATAATAATAATAATTATTATTATTATTATTTATTTCTCAAACAAATCTTACATTAGATAGACCCAATGTTAAATATAACCGCTATTTGTGTGAGACTGGAGTCTGTACTAGGTGCTAAACCTGTATTACAGCTAAAGGTATATGTGGTACATGTGTTAATTGTATCATTTTCATTGATATTTACGTCTTACTTCCATTCAAGTTACGTTCAAAAATAAAAAAACGCCTATTTTCGACTTAAGCCGTATTGTTTTCTAAGCGATGACACGGTATCTAGCTAACACGTGACGCTTGTTTCGGCAGTGAGTAACGATGAGTAAGTTTACTTAGATTTTTTAAATGATAAAAACTATACTAATGTAGGACATAAACTCGTATTTAAATTCTCTAAGGTTTGTCGACAACACGGAACGCACGTTATTCGTCATGGTAGGTAACGTCACGGTTGCTTTATACATAAAAACCTCCACTACATAATGTTTTACACACAAGTTTGCGATATTATTTATAAAGATTTCTTAACCGTTTACTATGCAACTTAATTCCCAACGAATCTGCATGATAATATTGTGTCATTTAATTGATAGAGCAGTTTAGTAGAGCTCCCAAGCAGTAATGTCATCATTACTGTGTTCGGGTTAGAAGGGTAAGGATGCTGGTGAAATTACTGGTACGTGAGAGTTGTCAACTTTTGTCTCAGGGTGACGGGCGCAGTGGCAGTGCCCCTCAGACCCTTGCGATTTAAAGCTCTGAGTAGCACTGTAACTGTTATGGACTGGCGTGTAGCTTACCATCAGGCGCACGACTTGTGACGAACAAGTCTGTCACTTCCTTTTTTTAAAAAAGACTTTTTTTTAAACTGAGCATGAAACCAAGTACTCCCAAAGATATCCCATGTTTTGATTGATAACTTTTAGGCGTTATGACAAATCCAAATATTATGACAAGTTATATTCTATTATTAAAAAAGAACAGCGTACCCTATAACAAACACGGAAAAAGAACATTATCCGAATCTTACCCATTAATGTGTCACCAGTTCCAGATATCTATGTAGATATACGATAACATTATTGTGAGTGTCGCAATTATCGCTGTGTAACGATAAATTTATCGGCACCTTCACACCTTAAAACTGTATCGGCGTTTGTAGGCAATTGACTTGCGATTGTATATTCACGATCGGCTGCTTTATACAAACAACTGCAAATGTATTCTTTACATTCCGCGCAGTGTAAAAAAAACTATTTACTAATGCAATGCGGTATGTTTTTGTTTTTCAATTATAATACTGTTATATTATGATAGTTGTTTTTATTTCATGCATATTGTTTTAGTTCCTGTCGTACGTACAAGCCTGCTGCACTTATTATCATCAGGGTGCGGACTTGTCTGAGGATTTGGAGCCTTTTTTGAAGTCTACTGCTGAGGAGGCAAGTTATTATATTATTATAGTATTAATAAGGAATTCCTACTTCCAATAAACTCCTTTGGATGTGGGTGAATTACGTTACATTTTATCACATTGATTTAACTCTACTATTCATTCGTACGGCAGATCCCCTGCGAAAAATGAATAAGAAAGTCTGTGTACAAATGTTTATTTCTCTTTGTAAATAAACATTTGCGTACATTTATCATTTACAACATTTATTTTAAATATTATATGATAGATCAAGACAACCTGCAAAAGCTAATCGGGTCACTACCACGTATATTTGTCATCCAAGTACGCTGACGGTGTATAAATAATCTTTTGTGTAAAGTTTTTGTTTCACTATAGTTTCAAACCTCGTAAATGGAAAGTTTTGAATATCAACCGGGATCTTATTATAGAAGCGTAGAAGTATTGCCCCTTATGTATATGAATTTGTGATTTTGAGATGAACAAGAACAGCCTGTTTGAAATGAACCTTACATCCTGGCTCAGAATATTATTTTCATTCTGTTTCACAATATGTAGATTACTTGGCTACAATCTCAACTGATTTTAAACGACGGTGTTATGCGTTTGACTACTAAATACCTATGTACCTATACCTATGCCTTTATAAAAGTTTCTTGGGTGAGTCTTTTTAGACTTTTGCTTATACAGGGTAATTTGTAAAATTCTAACAACCCCGCAGGGCCATATTACTAACATTAACTGCCTCCGTGGCCGAACGGTTACCATACTGGACTGTCACGCAGAGGTCCCAGGTTAGATTCCCGGGCCGGGTGAAATATTTATTTATATAGCCTTCATTTATTACTCTCGTGTGTTTGGGTGTCATTTGTGGTTATCTATGGGTGTGTATATGGTACGCGCGATACAGTATTTTCCCTAGGGTGGGGCTATGAGTGTGTGCGTTATTTATTAATCATAAACAACCAGTTTTGTTCCATGAGTTTTAATTCATCAAATTGTACCTTTGCAAAACAATTAAAATATTTAAAAAGATAGCCCTAAACGGTGATAACTCTGTGCGGTAGCTAAAGAAAGCACCCACCACCAAAATTATTTTTATCAATGACACACGAAAAGCGTTGCTAAAAATACAGATCCAGAAAGTGTCAGATAGTGCAAAAAAAAATTAAAAATTTATTTTTAATCGTTTAAAACCACGTTAATGTCGAAACATTTTTATCGTGACGTTTTATGTATCGTCTGACGACTGTCATTATTGATCTTCCCATTGTTACGACAGTTTGTCGTCGTAACGTCGAAAAAGTCGTGAACAACAGTTAATCGTGTTGTTCTATGTGTGAACAACTTTATTTAAATATACAAGCCACGACACTAAACTGCACGACTATCTGTCGTCGCGACATAATGGGAACGCGCCCTTAGCAGAATACCAAACGTATAAGATCCTGCCACTGACACAATTGACACATAACTGAGATGATTTAAGATTAGCGACTTGGTGCCCTGGTTCATTAGACTAATAACTTAAAGATGATAAATTGAACCTATTTATTCCTCAATTAAAAAGGGTAACATCTGTAATTTTTTGCTCATTATTTTGAGGCGATTTTGTATGACGAATACATTTATTAATGAATAATAGAGTTAACAGACGAAATTATACTTTAGTGTATCGAGTACTTAGGTTTTCGCGATTTTTACATATAGGAAACGGAACTATTTTTCCGGATTTAAATCGCGTTTTGTTTTTTCAAACAAACCAAATCCACAAATGAGACAACCATGATCACGGTTGACTTAACCGTGACCATGGGACTTGTAAAGGGCCCGAAACGTTTGGTTCGTGTGGAAAAACAAATATACGCGATTTAAATCCGGAAAAATAATTTCATTTCCTATACTTTAGTGTGTTAATATTTTGAGTTTATTTACATTACGATGTGTATTTCCGTTAGTCTTCTAATCAAATCCGTAAGATATAAACTCAATGATCTTATTAGCCGCATAACATAGTCCCATTATCATCAGTCATTAATGATGAAAGTCGCAACTATCTGCTAAACAATTATAACAAGACTAAAAAGTATTCACTAACGAACATTTGCAGATTTCAACAATGCGTAACGACACAAAAATACTCGACAAGGAGATGGAAAACCGACACACGATCGTCAACAGTAAAGACACTGTGTTGCCAAGCTGTAATACAAATGACAATGACAGCGATTGCAAAGACGGACTTCTGAGTACACCATGTCTCAAAAACATGCCTCGTATGCAAGGATACTTATTCAAAAGAACGTCAAATGCTTTCAAAACTTGGAATCGTCGGTGGTTTTACTTATACGATAATCGACTTGTCTATAGGTGAGTTTATATTGAAGGCTGATTTATGTAGGTCGCTGTAAGGTGATCAGATCGTCACGGTCTTTAATTTACCGTTAATTGTGTTTTGGTTTGATTGTTCCTATTGTTTATATTAGCAGCGGTTGGCAATTAAAAAACATTGACACTTAACTGTAATGACATTCTGAAGTCTTAACGGAATCGCTTTGGCACCGAGATACCTTGGACGCTGGAATATTTTTTATGTTCTAAACAGTTTACATATACTGTAAAATAAGAATGATGAAATAAACTTACAATTCCGCTAACCCAGGGAAGATAATTTCTTCGGCCGAGGGTCGAACAATTAACAACCCGTGAGGAACACGTATAGGGTATAATTTTTGGTGGCAATGGAGACTGTAGCTGGGCTGTTATACATTTTGTTAATTTTATGTGGAGGTAGGGTGGTAAAATTAACTACATGAAACAATATTCAATACAAGCAGAGTTGCCAATTAATTTACTTCCATTTTTACATTTTCTGTTGAAATGACAGGCACATGGGACTTATGTTTAGCGCGTGACGGGCGCTGTGGCAGTGCCCCTCAGATCTTTGCGATTTAAAGCTCTGAGTGACACTGCCACTGCTCCATAGCAGCCCATATAATATCCCATACCATATCCTCCTGTCCCTCATGTCGCTTACCACTAAGTGCAGGACTTGTTCGTTCCGTGACGTGGTATCATAAAAAAACGTTTTAGTTAATCGGTAGGTTCCAGACACTTGTCTAATATTTACCTTCTTCTTCTTCGCGTGACTACTCTGACGTTTATATTTGTGAGGACTAGTACTCAGCGATTGACACAGCATTATCAGTAGCTTCGTACAGATCCTCGCGTGTGCAGGTGTAGGAGCATGCAGGACAACACAAAAGATGTGCCATAGTCTGGGAAGAGACACCCCAAATACATGCGCTCTCCCAGCTATAACCTATAAATATAAAAATGTGCATGCTCTCCTTGCTTCGGCCAACTTGGGTCCGCAGTCTATTTAGTTTGTGCCAAGGTAGATTATGCCCTGGAGGAAGGTGCTCTGACAGCGGAATGAGTGACGTCGTGAGGTGTCTCTCCGCCCAGAGATTTATACGGACTTGGTTAGTTTCTCCGTCCAGAGGGAATATTTACCTACTGCACTTTTAACGAATGTGGAGCAATATCATAATAGCGTTATTTATTATTTCATAAGTTCGATCATATTTGAGACGTCTCATGTAAATCCCGAACTGTGAAATTGCTGTGGCATTGAGGACGTCACCTTTTGACACGGCAGATATTGTTTTCCCTCACCTCCGCGCTTTGTCTCACTGTTTTCAATAGAATTTTTGTCGAACATTGTTATTGTAATATTTTAGAAAAAGAACCGGTGAACTTAACGTGACAGTGATGGAAGAAGACTTGAGGCTGTGTACAGTGAAACCTGTACATGATGGAGAAAGGCGGTTTTGCTTCGAAGTTTTGTCGCCATCCAAGTACGTAATAAACACCTTACACTTATTAACTGATTACAATGTCTATAAATTTCTTTAGATGCGTTAAATTATCCCGATCAGAGTATTTCAAAATCCTTTACGATTATGTTTGCACGATTATGGGACAAACTACCGTCTGAAATTGGATAGTCGGTCAAATCGATTCCTATTTTTTAAACTGGATTGCGTAAGTATTTGCTGGCACGGTTTAAATCTGCAACATAAGTATAAGTATAATTTCTTAATAAATATATATAATGTATGTAGGTATACAATATACTTTTTTGTTATTTTGATAATAATAGAAACAAAGAAAGAAACATTTATTCGGCTATTACAAATAAATATACATAAAGTAATAATAATATTAATCTAAATTTAAATCAAAGAGTAAACAATTAAAAAAAACGAAAAATGTATATATTACTAAATATATAATAATATCCGAAAAGGCTAGCCAGCTCAGCTTAATGCTGGGCAGGGTCACAGCGCTGATTTTCAGCTGGAGCCTGAGAAGAGGTAGATGGCTATACCTATCAAGTTTTCATCAATGTCCTCCTCCTCCATCTCTGTTTAGTTTTCCTCTACCTCAAAGATTGTCTAGAAGACATCATTCTAAGCGCTATGGCCGCTTTAGCCCACATTATTGCTAAGTTGTATATACCTTTTTGTTTTTGTGCGTAAGCAAAACTGGCGTCGTAAAAAAAAAGGTACAACTGTGTATACTTTATGCGACTGTTGTGCCCTTTTCGTTCCGAAGGCAGAACATATATATATAACTGCCTCCGTGACTAGACGGTTACCATGCTGGTCTGCCACGCAAATGTCACGGGAGCGATTCCCGTACCGGGAGACATATTTGTATGGTCCACATTTATTTCTCTCATGAGTGTAATTTGTGGTTGTCTATATGTGTGTCCGTCGCACACGCGATACAGAGTTTCCTTAGTGCGGGGCTATGACCGCGTGCATCTAATGCTCTGGCCACAAGGAGGCGGCCGCAGAAGCGTTTAGGACGCGGAATCTTTTGTAATATACGAGTTCATATAAACCCTGCCACACTGAAACGCGCGGCGGCCGCGCGTCGTCCGCCTTTGTGTGGCCTGAGCATAACTTTCATGGCAAAATACGCTCTATTCATTTAGCTTTTACGTTTTAATTAACGCCGGCACCGCGCCGAATCTGTTGGCGGTTGTATTATTCCGATGAATTTAAATGTTGTTGCCTAGTAGGTAGAATTCAGATTTGCCATTAATATACGTGACAGCGTGTTAACTGGGCAGTTGTCGCTTATAATTCTAGAAGCCACATGCTCCAAGCGGACTCCGAAGAAATGCTCAACTCGTGGATATCAGCTTTGCAAAACGGCATTCGATCAGCGATCCAGCAAGGGCAAAGCAGAGAGAATCCGGAGTCTCAACTAGTACTAGTACCCGATGACACCAGACACAATGACAATCAGTATTTGACCAGTGGACCTATGAAGAAAGTCAGGTATATTCCAAACTGTTCGTTATTTATTAATACGAAAACGACGATACTCTTTGATTGTTCTAAATTTATTTATTCATTTAAATCAACTGTGACCCATATAATACAGGGTGTAATCGTTAAGTGTGCCCAGGCGATTATTCCGTAAATATAAAAGATATTAAACACTTTTATACTGTTATCAAAAGTACATTACCTAATGTGTATAACCAAATCAAGCACACCCACACATTTAATATGACATTCGTATTAGTATAAAATCGTAGATGTAGATGCTAAACAGAACTACAACTTCCGGGGACAACTTCTTTGCCTTCCTAAAATACCTGTTAAACCATTTTTGTGATAAGAACTCAGATATTCGGACATGTCTAACGTACGTCCTGACTCATCTTTCCAGCACGTCATTGCATCCTATAGCCACCTAAGGACATGAGCGACTAATAAAGAATCCGTAAAATGTGAAATGCATTAAGTTGAATGTAAGATCTTGAAAAATAATTGTGCTGGCTCATATATTACATTCATCCGTTCGTTTATTCATTTATTGAAGGCCATTTTAAATAAACACTGGTTAAGTCATGCGCCTGATTTTTGCTGATTTTTTTGATAGATCTCTCAGATATCACTAATCGTCATTCCTATAGTGGGTACTATTTTTATACATGTCGTCATACGCCTGTGGCGAACGGAGGAAAAGTATTTTAAATATTGTAGATGGGAATTATTTACTTCATGGAGACATTATTTTATTTTTAAAAGGAAGTAATACTGCATTCGGAGATATTTAAAAACGTGCTTGCCTCATCTAGGATTCGAACAAAAGAAATAAATGTGCAAAAAAAAGCACCTGTATTTTTGTAATGCTGATCGAAAGGCTCAATTATAAGGATTATTTCCTTATAAATAACATAGTATCTTCATTTAAAGGAATATCATTCTATTATACAATTTATTAAAAAAAAGAAACAAATGTCTCAATATAGTTATTACTATTTCAGGATATGGGAGCAGCTGCTGAGCATTCCGGGCAACAACAGCTGCTGCGACTGCGGCAGCGCTAACCCGCGATGGGCCAGCATCAACCTCGGCATCACGCTCTGCATAGGTTCGTGGCCTTGAAATCTTTTGAAATAATAATAATAACGCACACGCTCAACATAGCCTCGCACTAGGGAAACCCTGTGTCGCGGGTGCCATGAACACATACATAGACAACCACAAATTACACCCAAACTCACGAGAGAAATAATTGTAGGCCATACAAATATTTCTCCCGGCCCGGGAATCGAACACAGGACCTCTGCGTGGCAATTCGGCATGGTAACCGTCCGGCCACAGAGGCAGTTAAAAATTTAAAATAATGTAAATAATGTAATAATGTAAAATGTAAATACTTTTAAAGGAAACACCGGATGTTCACCACTCGATTATTGAAGACTCGGCCGAACAGTAGAGCTGCTTATGAAAGAGTTCGTCCAGAGTAATACTGCCAATACTTGCCTTTTATTCGTAATTTTCTATTAAGAATAAAAATTTTGAAATTACTCATACGAAACCTTCCTTGATCGTGACTGAACTATTCTGACAAGTAACAAATACACTGCTTTTTATCGTGTCTAAATAATGTATTTGTAATGCAGTTGAACTTGTCGCGATGAAACGTAATCGCGCGTAAAGTCAGTTGGCGAAGTGGTCTTAAGAGTTTGTTATCTTACTATTTCACTCTATATGTCCTACTACTCAGTCAATCTAATAGAAATTGTCTTTCACAGAATGCTCCGGAATACATCGATCGTTAGGCGTTCATGTGAGCAAAGTCAGATCATTGACCTTAGATGATTGGGAACCTGACATTATAAAGGTGTAGTATACATTTTTTACTTCTCATGTTCGTAATGTTAGTCGTATCTGGGGGTCTACGCTATTTCTCGGACCGACATCTGTCTGAAACAATTTCTGTCAATTAAGTAATAAGGTCAGGTGGGATAAGAGGAACACCGGGTGAAGAGGGACTAAAGTCCATAATACCTAAAGTAAAGCATTTAGCACTATAGTCTCTCAGTCGATAAAACAGACAAACAAATTAGTTTTAACGGTTGTAAAGAGATGTCGCTACGATGTTCCAAATTTAAGAGAGAGAGAAAAAAATTTACAGTTGTGTAGTCTGAAAACATGAGATGGGCGCGTAATTTTTTCTTTGCTGGATCTTGGTGAAAAAAATTGCTGGAGGTTATTTTTATAGAAAAATACGTAGAGAAAACGGTAAGTTTTACTTTTTATTAGTTATCTCAGACCAAAATCAATAAATAATACCATACCTAGTAATACTATACCAAGTTTCATTGGAACCAATCCTAACCGTCAACTAACGTAACATTGTTAGGGTACGAGGGTCTAGTACTTACGGGGTAAGGGAAACATATTCTGTTTCTCTAAATAAATACTTACATTATGTGCCTCTTTCCCCGTGTCAGGAATGGCAAACTTTTTGACGAATTGTCATAATAGAATATTGTCATATTCGAACAAACACAACTTTATATCCATATATATTGTATATATAAATTATTACATGTATACTTTTAATAAATCAAGTTAAATTTACGTTACAAGTACAAGTTAATAACGTTTTTGATAGTAATCGTAAATGTTGGTAAAATTTTAGTGACTTCGTCCACTTGATGTTAATTTCTGACGATGTTACAATCATTACACCACTTCAATTTTATGTGTAAACAATTACACATCTTAAGGTAGTTTTTAAGGCCAGCAGCAAAATTCTGCTAGAACATTTTTTCCTTCAGGAATTTTTATCGCTGCTTGGTGCAATACCTTCAATTATTATTTTTTCTTTATGTTCGATATATAAAAATAAAAAATTCAATGGCGCGAAATAGTTCAACTCAATATTTTAACTGCCTCCGTGGCCGAACGGTTACCATGCCGGACTGCCACGCAGAGGTCCCAGGTTCGATTCCCGGGCCGGGAGAAATATTTGTATGTACTACATTTATTTCTCTCGTGAGTTTGGGTGTAATTTGTGGTTGTCTATATGTGTGTCCATGGCCCGCGACACAGGGTTTCCCTAGTGCGGGGCTATGTTGATGTATATAGGTTGTATTAAATATATATATATATATTATTGTAGCGGACTGTATCAATGGGTTAAAGGGTGGGTGCTAACAACCAGTGAGCAAGGCCAAGCAAATGTACTTACAGTTTATTAATTTTGATTACAAAACACCACGTAGCAAAACAGCAAACCCTAGACAAAGTCAAGAAAAGGCCCAAAAACAAACACATTTAAATTTAGAATTTAAATATAAAACTAAGCTTAAAAAAGACTATATTATAAAAATATATAGAGAGAGATTTGTAGCGATTCGCTATAATTATAATTTTATTAAATACCTCGCTGCTGCTTAAACATTGGCGTTCTTGATCAGTATTCACCGACAACTTATTATGTTCATCGGAACTGACATTGGCCCAAGCCTAATGGCCGCCATAAACAGAGTTCTTAAAAATCCCTTAATTCAACAAGGGTGTAAACCTTTATATAAAACTACTTTACTTTATATACATATAACTGTACTGTTACTTTATATATAACTTTTTATAAAAAGTCTTGACAATATGATTTATTTCATCTTCAGGTGATGGCAGAACTAGGTAATAAAGTAGTGAACCTAATCTATGAGGCTAACACTGAAGGCACTACGATTACTAGAGCAACTCCTGACTGTGAGACGTAAGTATATACACGATATGAAATGAATTAGAAAAATAAATGTTGAAAAAGTAATGTTTCCGTGGTAATTTTTCTGAAGCACAAATCGAATGGAATTTCGAACCATTTGAATTCGAATTTATGTGCACTTAAAAAAATAGTCATCATAAATAATTGAAATCTATGAATGAATTAATCTACTTCGCTTCTAAAACGTGTAGTACTGTTTCCTAAAGTTCAGGTTTCGGAACTTTCGACTTTCACAAAAGTTGACTATTGCATTGTTAACTATTTCATTCAAATGTGTTATTTGACATTATAGTTTTTTACTGTTGATTAAGTTCCTTTCTGCCTTGGCTCTCCTGGCCTCTAATTTTTTTTTTATTTATTGGTTTTTGCAACAAGGCCCTAACAACCTTAACCAATTTTTCAAACACATAAGGGAAGACTTAAATAACTAAAAAGTACTTACAAACAAAAAATAAAGTAAAAAAGATTTTATTACTAATATTTTATTATATTTTTACGTAATTAGGAATATATCTGTACTATTCTAAATGCTTCAAAAGCTCCTGGGTAAAACTGGGTACATTACGCTATTGATCTCTCTAGTGTTCCTACCGTCTGATGTTTATTTTTTATATAATGGCACAAAGAGTACTTTGTCTGCCATTATATAAAAAAACTATCATTCAAAAATGTACCTTAATCTTTCAGACAGTAGGTGAATATTTACCTTTGTTAAAATTATACAGTGACATTCTATTTTCGAATATTTTATTAAAAACGCATTTTAATCGGCATTTAACTAATCAATTAAACGTCTAACTTAACCGTTCAGATAATAAGATATTTGAAGTGATATGTTACCAGATTAAGGAGTTTTCGATAATCACATCCTGTTTCCATAAAACTCATATGATAATGAAAATAGTAGTTTAAAAAGAAGTACTTTACTGGATGCTGGATGACTTGAATTATACCCAATAGTGGATTCAAAAGGTGGATTCATATGCATTATCATAATTCACAATTCATTTATTTGTAAAAACACAGGTTGTTTAAAAGTTGACATGTAACAAAATAAGTCTAGACAAACATTAGGCATACAAACATATTGAATGTATATTATACATTTACTCACATGCGCTTCACCAGACTAAACTAGGAGTGACATGTTTTTTAATAACATCACATAGGCAACATATTTAATTCCGTCATTAATGTCAGACGACTCGCGCGTTTAATGTGTATGGCGAAAGAACTTCTACTTACTCTGTTCCCCGGCTAATAAACGAGTTACCGCTAGAATTATGTAATGCTTTAACAACCATTAATATAAAAATAAACTTAAAAATTACTTTGTAAACAGCTTAATCAACAGCGATAAATTTGGTTGTTTATAAATGTATTCATCCAATGTCTGTATAATCTTTTTGGTTAATGTTAGATTATTTTTGCAAATCACTCAAATATTATATAATGCTTTTCTGTTGGCAAATTGAACTTATGTATTGTGTGGATACAGTTCGCATTACCACTTACCAAAGTGGTTTAAAATGTGACTAGAAACATTGTTTTGTATTACGTTTTAAATTATAAATAAATTTTAAGAAAAGTTAATTTGGTCAATTTCCATGAAAATAATAGTGAAATCTAACTAAAAACAGAGAAAAGGCGTTAAAAACTGAAAACCAAGATCTGTAAGAACATTCGTAAAGACTGTTGGTTTGTTCCTTAGCTGAGATGGAGCGTCAGCCACGGTATGATGAAAGCGCTGGTCCGAATTCAGCCAAAATGTCATGTCAAAATAAATATCGTGCTCTAAGTATATTGAGTTTAAGTTGGGATTATTTTCAATTCCATTTTTTTTGCATTCATTCATAATTTCGCAATGGTATACTTATTGCTAGGTCGGTTCGCGAAGCGTGGATCCGGGCGAAGTACGTGAACCTATCATTCGTGAAGGACCTGGTGAATCCCTCAAGCGTGACTGACGCAGCCAATGGTGCTGGGGCAGTTTCGCCGCTCAGAAATGCAAGGCGGTGGTCGGTGAGGAGGACACGACGCAGGTAAAGTTCAATAACGTTAATTTGAGTCCACGTGCTGACAAAACACTACAATATATACATATATATTTATATATATATGAATAATAATTATAATTTCTAATATAGACTTGTCCTTTATCCCAAACATAAACTCCTCGTTACCAAATTGTTAAATTGAAAAGTGCATAAACGTAAATTGCGGTTTGTACACTGTTCACTCCTACACAAAATACCACTTAAGAGTAATAAATTGCATTGAAAAATGAATTTTATTCTCTAGTCTTTGTCAGATTCCAGCACATAGTGGCAAAACAAATGTAATGTAATTTAGTACAATGTTTTCAGAGTGCGTGCACCTTCAGTGCCTGAGACGATCAACGACGAAAAAAGTGACAAAAGTGATGTCAACAGTAACTCTAGTGGTAAGAATCGTTTCTCAATTTCACTAATGTTATAAATTGAAAGATTTTTAATAGATAATTACTTAGTCAAAATGAGCGACTATAGGAGAACGGAAGATCAGCTATTTAAAAATATGGACAGTTTTTAAAGATTTTGTTGATGTTATTATTATATTGTTAGACGAACTCGGTGCTCTGCGCGTTTGCGCATGCGTCCGATTTGTATGCGTTCCGAATCCGAGATTATACAAATTCAGAAAACTCGGACCCACTTCGGATGACGCTTGTGCATTAAGTTCGATTCCAATGCGAGAAAGTACGAATATCGCTTATACACCTCGAGATAAAATGACATTTCGGACACCTGTGAAATTTCGTACCATCACTTCTCGGATTCTCTAGGATTCATATTGTAGACGTTGGATGTGTCCCGGTTTCGAATTCCGGTAGTGCCAATTTGGGATGTGACTTTTCTAAATTGTTTTATTTATTTATTGCAATTGCAATATGATGTATTGGACATTTTTAATGTATATAAATAGGTAAGTGATAAATCATACTTCGCCAACTATAGTACAATATGACGCCACGTAATGGCAATTTTAGCGGGGACAGTCTCACGCTATTACATTGTAAGTACAGACGGCAGCATATTAAGCCGGAAATCGACGGATCTTGTTCTATTGCACTGGAGGCGATATTCGAACAAAAATGCTGAAAAACGCTGTTGACTGAAATTAAATTTAGTTTACTCATTTACATTTAAAATTACGCACTCGCACTGAGACATATTAACGAACACATGCATTACATTTCTAATTACGACTATCCTAATACAATAAATTATTTTTTATGGTTCTGGTTCTGGTCTGGGTGTTCTGGGAAGTGCCCCAGAGTGAATTCCTTTGCTTACTCATAGTACAGGAATTTCCCTAGTTTGAGACCTGGCAATTGGTATAGTTGTCTGACACATTATATTATTAATGATGACGACGACGTTACTAATAAGAAAATATTTTATATTGTGTATTATATTACAGTGGAATGCGACGGCAAATCACAAGGCAGCCCCGTGTTGGTGATTGGTGCTGAGTTAGCAAGCGAACGTGAAATTGATCTCAGTCTGCCATCTGACCACGACTCTACAGAGGGAGAGGATGGAGATGAAAGAAGTTAGTTACATTAAGTAATATTGTTTTATCTTTATGTTATTCATAAAAACAGCACAACTAACAGTATAACAGCAAAATGCTCTAACTTGGGCCTTTTCAAAGCGAGGGAAGAGCCTGCATTATTAACAAGTTTTCAAATGGACACAGTTTATAAAAATATTTGATTTCCGCGTATTTAATTACCGCGGTAATTACTTTACTTATTGATAATTAAAACGGGCAAGACATTAACCGTTCGGCTAGTTCTGATTCTATTGACTGGTTACTAGTTACTAGAACTACAGACAGAACAAATATAAGCGTTGTCGTGCCCGTGCGTTACAACAGCACCCCACTCGGCTGGGGTGACGCAGGTGTGAGCACGAACCGTGTACCGTTGCAGCCACCGAAGACATGTCGCGCCTGTCGCCGCCCGCGGTGCTGCTGCTGGCTGCGCGCGCGCACAACGTGCCGGTGATGCGCGCGGCGCTGGCCGCCGGCGCCGACGTCAACCACGTGCACGCCAGGGGCCGCACGCCGCTGCACGCCGCCGTCCTTAGCGTCAGTATATCCCTACAAAACAGACAGCCCCACTCCTTTATTTTCTCTTTACAAAGGTTACCAAGTGTTATAAGTTTTTTTAAGTTTATTGAATGTCACGATGTTTGTCCACCATGATATTCAATTATTTTTGTGAAATTACTCTACTAGTTTGTTATAATTATTAATACAAAGATCGAACACTTAGAAAAATTTCCTTCAATAAGGCTGTATTCGAACCAATGTCTTCCAGCAAACCGTGGCAGACGCTATGCCAACTAAGCCGAAATACCTTTTTAAAAGACTGGAGAACATACTAGGAATTAACCTGTGTGACATTTCCAGGCTCTCACCCAAACGTAACGTCTAACGTGTAACGTCTTTGAAAAGGCATTACACAAATTTTATAAGTATCAAGTTTTTAAAGACTGTAAGGTACAACAGAAAAACAAAAGCGATGATAATGAAGTGCCGTAAACACAATAAAAGTAAAATATGAAAACTAAATATAGTTACGTGCCTGTACGTGATGTGGTCTACCTCATACTAATTTTAATTAATTAATTAATTAACTATTACTATTTTCATAAACTCAGACAATATTATCCTCCTAAGACCCAGCAAAGTATCTACAATGGGAAAAGCGCTAAACGCCCAATACGTATTAAAATGTACTTAATATATATATAAGCTCCAGCCACTAGTTTTATACGCAAATCGCATTTTTCTAGATACAGTATGGTCATACAGAATTATAAGGGCTAAATTTGAATACGATATTTTCTTTATAATGTACACTGGGCATTTACTTCATTATAAGACTAATCTTTCCATCATTCTCGGACTAGTGTTCACTACCTAATTTTCGTGGCAATTTTTATTAATTATTCGATTTTTTTACCGTGACCCGTTGTTTAATATTCGCGTATTGTATCGTGAAATATTATTTAATAATTACACGATAATATACTTGAATATTTCAATAATAAAAATTGTCACGGAAATTAGCTAGTGAACTTAGGAAGTGAATAGCCCCGCATTAGGGAGTCGCGGGTGCCATGGACACACACATAGTCAACCAAAAATTACACCCAAATTTACGAGAGAAATAAATGAAGGCCATACAAATATTTCTCCCGGCTCGGGAATCGAACCTGGGACCTCAGGGTGGCAGTCCGGCATGGTAACCGGTCGGCCACAGAGGCAGAGACCACTAATCCGAGAATGATCGATTTATGGTCTGGGTCTGGACTACTTCAGATATTATGTAAATTTTGATATTCACAGGGCCTTACGAGGTTACAGAGACTACCACAGGAGCTCGTATTAACAAATCTTAGAATTCTAAATTCCGCTTAAATAAATACGAGCAATTTTAAAGGAGAGTGAAAAAGCTATCTGTTACTGTATAATATAAGGTTTTTTCGGCTATTGATAATAACAGGTCTTCTATTTATGGATAACAAATAGTTGTATATGTGATGGTTATATCAATTTTTATGGTTATATCAAAATGAAACGAGTATATCAACTCGTTTCATTTTGACTTCAGTAACTTTAAAAAATAAAAACCGCCAATTTTCGACTTCAGCGGTATTGTTTGCTAAGCGATGATATGCAGTACTGGCCTAATCGAATTTGATTGGAACAGAGTATTTCTCATCCGAATACATGAAAATGAAACACTGAAAATGAAAACAAAAAAAAACAAAAAATCAAACAATGAAAATGAAAACAACATTGAAATCTTCATAAACAGGGTTCAGTGATGGCGTGCTCATTTCTCCTGCTGAACGGAAGCAAGCTCAACCTGCAAGACGATGACGGCAAAACGCCATTGCATCTTGCCACAGAAAGCGGCCACACGGGACAAGTAAGTTCTAAACTTACCAAATATGAGACTATAAGTCTATCTTTTTTGAAGACGGAGTAAAATGACATTTGTAGGGTTGCCAGTTTTCATAAAATTTTAATAGTTATGGAGTCGTTGTCGATAGTTTTATGGATAGATAGTGAAAAAGAAGATAAAATTTTGCCAATTTTTTGTCTACTAGTATGGAGATCAATTTTTATTCATATACATTTTAAGAAGACTAGCCAGATTTGATTATCTATATTGAGTTACAATGAAAAACTTTAAAATATGTCTCCTCTTTGTATTTTTCATAAACATAGTTCTAAATACAGTGTATGTATGGCTTACAAAACTTGACAATTCAAATGAACTTGTGCTCAGTAATTGGATGAATAATAAGTCGACGATGATTCAAATGAAACAATTTTGGCTATTTGTTCCATAAACACATACACGTGTGTTGTTAACATCGAATCTTATTAATTCACCTATACCCAATATTTTTTTTTATAATATTTTTTTTATTTATATTGGATTGAAGTCGTAACTTAATAAGCACCCTTGGTGTAATAAGGCCACATTTGCAAAATGACATCTTTCAATTGAGATGTTTTAAGATTCTACGAACTAAATTAGTCGAATTTTTTAATAAAAATATCACATACCTCATTTGTTTCATGTAATTTGTGTTGTTTTAATAACTTTCATGGGATAAAAGGACTTGACACATGTGTGGCTTTCATAAGATCAAAGCATCTGACGTACGATCATAATATGACTTTATTATACCAAGGGCATGAATTGTCCCCAATCACTTACTTAACAATGTCGTAGTATTTTATGAAGAATTGTTTATATTTTACGAGGAGTTAATGATAATGCTCTGTGCTAAACAACCACTTGTTATTAATTACCTGGTCTCAAATCAGAAAATTAACCATACTCTGTATACCGGAGCAACACACGCACGTGACGTTGACGTACTCAACTGATTTAATTTATGTTCTTCTATGATTACTTTTTGTCATCCCTACATCTATGTCGTCTTTTTTAACCGACCGGTAGTTGTAAGCCGGATGTTGGAGGCCACGTGACTCATAGCACAGGTATAACCTAGTTGGGATCCTGTCTCCCAACCTTTCACTTCTCATTGTATTACCTACATCTTGTACTTATTGGAAGAAAATAAACGATTTATTATTTATTTATGTGCCAACCGTTTGACCACCTAATATAAATATAAATATAATAATAATATAAATATAAATAAAAGGCCTTAGTTCTAATTCTTAGGTCGAGGTTTGAAATAAAGTTGAGTTATTTGAAAATGAAATTCTATCCTGCAGGTATGTCTATTACTACGGTACCGCGCGGACCAGTCGATCGCAGATAATGAAGGCAACACGCCTTTGGATATCGCCGTGAGTCACGCTAACGCTGACATTGTCACATTGTAAGTATATTGAACTACTAAATATAATATCCTCAACCTGGACCACCCTCCCGCGCAATTATTGAATTGTTAGCCTGTACATTCTATATAACCAGTCGAGTATATAACCAGAAATGTAGACGAAATGTCATTTAATTTGTTTGAAACCTATTCTGCCAAATCGTTTCGTTACAACTGCGCTCCATTTGGCCAGCCCGAATTCGAAACAATTGACGGGTGTCGTCAATTGTTTTACTTCAAATCGATCAGTTTAACTCATTGACTTACAAATAAATGGACGACGGGTCTAATACAAAAACCACGAAAAAAAATGTCCCAAGTCAACCTATTCGAAATTTAAATTGTAATGTCATCGCAGTATCGCGCTGTCAGTAGAACAAATGAAGACTAAAGCGGAGTGTCGCGCTCTGTATACGATTTTAGCACCTTACAAGTGCGGACACTTTTTAGCGCGGACCCGACGTCCATATAATTGTAAGTCAATGGTTTAACTTGAGCTTTTTTACTATACTGGATGAAAATTGAAAAATTACATATTTAATATTTAATTACCGATGAAATGTGATTCCGTTCGTTTTGTAATTAGATGTTTCGCTGTTTTTCCCACACCACCGAATGGAACAGCCCCCCATTGTTAGAGATGTTATCTTTATTACAATAAATACAGAATATTTTTGGAATATACACAGGTCAGTTGTTGACGCTGTACTATTTCAGATTTCTAATTTATGATTTGAGCGCAAACGAAAGTTGATATTTAAAAGTGATATAAGGTCCATTTGCTTGATGAGGTGCCAGGGATGGATGACCCTTATTTCGTCTTTATTTCTGGTTACATACTTGATGGCACTGGCCTTTTCTCACAAAGGGAGGACTGGGGCTATTTATATTCCCACGCGGACCCAATGCGGACTCGGAACTTTACACACATCATTAAATTTAATTTGCACATGCAGGTTTCTTCACGGTGTTATCCTTCACTTAAAAGCCCATGGCAAATTTCAAATAAAATTTCGCGTATAAATTCCGAAAAACTCAGAGACTAACGACCCTCTGCTTGAAAGACGGTAGGTGAAATCATTAGGCTACCACGCTTTTTAAAAACAAAAAATTCTTTAACTTTCTGGAATAGCGGTTTATCTCAAGAACACTTAATTCATCACGTAGAGGCATTGACCATGCGTAGGGATTTAAAAAACTTAGATGTATTTGGCGCACGAAACTGACGTATCACTGGCCCAATGTCGTCACTGGAACATCTTGGCCAATGAAAAGCTTGATGTTTTATTCACAGTAGAAGAAGAATCACTATTTTTCAAAAGCAACGATATGTGGAAATAAAATTTTACTTGTTTTTTCATTATTTAAAATCTTTTCTATGACGTATTGTCTGTCTTTTTTGAAGATAGAGTAAAATGACAGTTCACTGCTCAATTAAGAGTTGCCCGCTTCAATCGATAAAATATTCTATCGACTGAATATTGATCAAAATAAGAATAAAGAAGGCAATAACGCAATTAGTAATCATTAGAACGTCTGTCGTAACATTCACAATTCAAAAACTTTTGGCAAAATTTTTCCTCCTTTTGCAATTTTTCGATAGAACTGTCGACAAGAACTACATGACTATTTAAAATTTTATGAAAACTGGCAATCCTGCTAATGTAATTTTGCTACGTTTTCAAAAAAGACAGACTATAGATTATAACATACGACAATAATATCCTTCTCTTAGAAGAGACCCGTACACAACATTGCAACGTATATGTATGTGTAAATAAAGTACAGAATAACTCGTTTTTTTGCAGACTGCGGCTAACAAAGCTCAACGAAGAGATGCGGGAAAGCGAGATGTCGTCAAACGACGATACGTACAACGAGGTCTTCCGCGATTACACGCAGCTGGCTCATTCGCACCCTGAGAGGTTATTACGTCACCGCCATAACAACAACGAAGGTCAGTCCGTCTTCTATCTCTCCACACAGGTAGGTTTACATTAATATGCATGCTCATGGGAAGAAGTAAACTTACAACTAGTAAACTGTCAATTTTAAAACCATGTATGCGGTTTATTCTCCATAATATTGGCACTTATATGGCGGAATGGCAAAGAATTGCAATTCCCTACCTGCAGACTTATTCCCCGAACGCTATAATTTGGGCATTTTCAAGGTGAAGGTAAATAGGCGCCATTTAAGCGTGCACGCTACATCGTCGCTTTCTTACTTATAAAAAAATAAATAAAACACTTTGCTAACTTAAAACACAATGTTTAATTTGAAGTTTCGTTATAATTTCGTAACATGCCACGCATTGCATGGTTCAATTATATTAATAAGGTCCATAACTTGCCATTTTAATTTCTTTAAGCTGATTTCTAAAATTTCATAATATGACCTATTAACATAGTATAAGACAAATAGGGCAACTCCCGCTTGTTTGGCACGTACATGCCTACACTTCACTCCGAGCGTAGGGCTGTCACATTATTATTTTAGTTGTACAACTAACATCTGAGAAAGCAAGTTTATTTACACGCATGAACAAGATGCTTATGATTTATTTAATACGTATCCAGCTGTATGTTGTAAAACATGCTTTAAGTGCACGCGCTGTGAGCTGCATTGTTTATTTTAAATATATAAGTTGTGTCGTTCATTGTAAAAGTGAGTTAAGTCCTTGTAAATATAATGAGCTTTTAGCACATTCATGTGTAGTAATTTTAGTTATCTGAGTAAACTAGTAATGCCATCTATGAGATGTTAGTGCAATTATTGGAGTTGCTTCACTTTTGTAATGAAAGATATGACTGAATATGGTACTTTTAAGCAAAAAAATATGTGTTCTAAAATTTGGACTTACACCTTTAAGGTTAGGTGTGTAGGTTGAAAAAACCTTTGTTAAATGCAATACTTACGTACTGATATTTGTATACCACCATCGCAGATTGGTATCGAGATTACGGGAGCATGATAACGAAATGGAAATGAAATACTGCACCATTTAGAATTTGAGACACTCTTGTCCAAACAACCATAAACACTTTTACTTTTTTATGTAATTTTGTAAACACCGAGCGGACGCTTTAATTCTATAGTAAATGCCGCGTGAAACGACCAGCACTATGCAACGCGAGTGTATCGCGAGTGTTGCGGCCCCATCAACTCCACTCCACTGAAATCCATAGTCCATATATCTTGTCATGAACCTGTCTTGACTGTTTCCGTGAAGCTAAAGAAAGGCAACAGCGCCTATAATTTTAAGTAATTTAGAATGTACAAAATTATATTTGCTATTAGTTTTTTATCAGGCGTTTTTATGCATCAAATGTAACATGCATCATTCAACTTTAACCTTCCATAAAGTAAAGTTGTTATCACACAGCCTTGGTCTTTTATTCAATATGTTAGGTTCCATTATGTTCTAGAAACAGCGAGGTTATGCGAATGTGTGCTCACATACAAGACACGCTGCTACATTTGTAGGAAGTTACCATGCTTGTCTTATACTATGCTATTAATGTAACCAAAGGTTCAATTGTTTATATTGGTTCTATACACTTAAGCACGTATGTACCCTTCCGAAACATACGAATTTAATAAAAACGTTGTTTATTTTGTCTGCAGGTGAACCACCAAGCGAATGACGAAGCGAGACCACGCGGCGGTGGTGGCTGTGGTAAGAATACGACTAGCACTGGCGGTCGGCACTGCGGTCAATCTTTATTCTATGGTTAGTTTTTCGTACCGTTTACATTTTTGACATTGTTCGCGTAGTAATACAAATTTGAATTTGTATTCAATTGAGGCTACTATTAGGGCGGGGGACAGATGTGACGCCTACAATACGTTTTAACTTGTTACGATGGTCTATTCTACATATCCCCATTGGGAATGCTAACCAGTGCTACTGACTACGGATTTGTGGGGATAATTTAGCCATCACTGCCACTGGGAGTGTTCTCCACATTGTCAGTAGAGATTTGTGGAAGAAACCGATTTGTCCCAAGCCTTAAAACTGTGCTTTGTTAAAGTTTTGTAATTACGACGATTATTGTTTAAAGGTGTCACGAAAAAAACTAATTTTAATGACGATATTTTTGCTGATATTTTAAAGTAAGACCCAAACTGACTTACAATCATAGTATAATAAGAACAAGTAGTGCAACTCCCGCCTGTTCGCGTATAAATGCCTACGTTTCGCTCGGAGCGTAGGGTTGTTACATTATTATTTTAGTTATATCTATAGGCTGTAAACATCGTTTAAGAAAATCCAGAAGTTGTCCATCACAGTATTCTTGTGCTATATTGAAATAACCTTTGTTAAACGCAGTAGGTATAGTTGAAGAAATATTATTTGCACCGATGAATGTTATCTCTTGGAACGGCTTATCCTGTCTATTACAATAGGGTAATAAAATCATTAACACTTCTTTTGCTTAAAGCGTACACGGATTTAACGATCTTGGTCCATCGTACCAGTCATGGAATCACTAAATCCTTTTTCTGTATTCTAGTTTTCAATTATTTCGTAAAATACCGACTGCCGACCTTTTCCTACTAATTCAACAAGTTATTTACGCATAAAGATGATCAAGTTTAGAAGGAATGCGTAAAAAGCACTATACAGATGGCACGTGCGTTACAGAGACCGTTCAGTCTTTTGTTCTATTGTACTCTAAAAATTAAGCGATAAGAAGAATCGGTGCAAATAATATTTCGCCAACTATACTATACTTACGTATTGATATTTTGAAATGCTGAACAATACTCAATTTGAGACACTCCTGTTCAAACTACCACAAACATAACAATAAACACGTCTACTATTTTGATGTCACTTTCTAAACTTCGATCGAAAGCTTCAAATGTATAATTAATGACACTTGTGACGACACACGCTATGCAATGTGAGTGCACCGCGAGATCATGCGAGTGTATGCACCTGTACACGGCGTGAGACGGCCATGCACACATACAAGCCGCGTTGCTACTTTTATATGGACTTACATACTTGTTTTATTATACTATGATACAATGTATTTTTTCAGTTTATTCCATTATCAATATTTTGACAAATCTGAAAGCCACTACAGCAAAGACTAGGTCACGCTGTAATTTACACTATATATTCCGCGTCATTTTGACGAAAAACTTTTTATTTTAAAATTAGTAAGGCTGTCTTCATTCGTCTTTTAAATGGCTTAAAACTTTTTACACATTTTTTTTTATTTGATGTAAGATTTTACAATAATGATTAGTGACATATTTAGTCTAAACACGATTTTTTTTTAAATTAGCCATTATGCTATTTTAAATGATTTTTTTTTATAAATAAGAGTGTAATTAAAATAATGAATTGCAGTGATCTCTATATTTCGGAGGCTTATGAAAAAATTAAAATTTTTAGTAACATTTTATAAGGTAGTCTATTGATTAAATCTTCCAGAACATTAAACATAGATCCATAATAAACAAAAAGTATCATGTTTCAAATTGAATTTAAAGGAACTGTTTACTTTCAACTTCAAACTTTCTTTCGGCTTCAAAGCCTTTTGTGGGAATGTAATTGACTACACCCAAAGAAGCAGACCTCGACGATTTCACTTTTAACCATAGACAAAAGCGCCGCCGTTTTGAATTATGTGTGGTCTAAAATTTAATAATCACATTATATATTAAGGCCATATTATATTTTTACAAGGTGTGATTTTTTTTGTAATTTTCTATTAATTTTAGTATACCAAAGATTTTGCAGCGGTATTATTTGGATCGTGATAATGTTAAAAACACTTGGTGCTTTTTATTCACATTCCTTTGATGAAGAAACATGCCAAATCTGTATATAAAATTGACCCCCTAAAGGTCTGTAAGATTTTAAGGAGGGAAAAAAAATTCCAGGTGACCAAATCTTCGACTAGTTTTCCATATTAAATGTTTATACTCAACTCAACCCAAACGTATGCAATTTTTCCTCGATTTCAGTGTGGATTCCCATAACAAAAATTTTTCGTTGATAAATAGAATTGTGTAGACTTTTTGGGGTCATTTACGTAGATCACGACAAATTTCTTGACTATAAAGAACCCTGGAAGATATGTGAGTCCTATTTGAGTTGAGAAGACACCGGTTTACTCGGATAACCATTTATTGCAGTATTCGCTAGCAACGGCCTCAAATATTTCTATAGCAGTATTTTTTACGCGCCATACACCAATGGTCGTTTGACAGGAGATTTCCGAGGTTTTCGGTATTTTCTAAAATACACATTTAAATGAAAAAATTAAATTTATTTTAACATTGTTATTTACTACATTTGCAACTTGTTTCGTCTAAAGATATTGTTTTTTGTGACAAATTTTGTAATAGAAAGATCGAACAAAGAAAATGTCCTTCGATCTGACAGGACTACGTCTGTGCTATATCAGGGCGATTGCTTTACCAACCGAGTTACAGATCGAGTCATGCTTTCCTTCATCAGATCATTGTTTTTTGTTTTAATGCATTTTTGCCCTAGCGCCATCTATGAGAAATCTATGACAGTTTTCTTGATGAAATTATGGATGTCGGAGACGAAAGTGTCACTTACCGGGAGGATGGACGATGTTAAATTGACTGTTGTTAATTGCAAATGTGAAAGCCAAGGCTGCGGCGACACCACGTCGTTCGTCGTGAATTTCTTCCTACACTAAAAAAGAAGCTAGAAAATTTTTGCAAATTTATTCCGTGGCGACAACTAAAAAATTATGTCTTCCATAAAGGTTACTTTTACTTTACTTTACTACTTACTTGACTGAGTGGAGAAAATTTCATAAGTTCTTACAGGTGGCATTACCGCAAACAGTTTAAAGTCAATACAAAGATCCGCAACAAGCACATAAAGAAGTTCGTCATATCTGCTGGCAAGATCCGTAGCTCAGTTGGCAAGAACGGTAGCAACGTAGCGACGTTAAGGCGACTGACACTGGTTCGAGTCCAGTCGAATCGAGATAGTTTTTGTTTGTGTTTATTCGATATTTGTGTCAATAATAATAACCTTAAAAATGATTTTAAGAAAATCAATATAAAAATCCACTTCCTAAGTATAGCCCAGCCCAAGGAAACTTTGTTGTAAAAGCTATTTGCACTTTTCTTGGGTGAATCTAAGATATTCGCCGTGATCTGCATTAACTAGATCATTCCAAAATAACGCATTTCAATATAAAAATGTTAATTTTAAATCTGGCTCTGAAATTCAAGTTAATCTCAATAGTTTAATCTTAAGATTTTAGAATAATTTTAGTTATTTCTAAAAAGTAAGTAATTATTACATAATAATAATTGTTTTTAAGTGTCTATTTAACTATAATCGATTGCCAATTTTTTTTACAAATGTTATTCCAAACTTTAATGGACAATACCAGAATTGCCCCAGCCAGATTTAAATTTACAAAGATGATTTCAAGTAGTATGACTTTTCACTTCTACTATAAAAGCTTTTATCTCTTTAGAACTACCATGAGTTCTATACGTCCGTGTTTTGTAAAAAGGGGTGTAAGCGATGTTTCGTAGATTTTCAGGAAAGCTAGTTTTAGGTTTTTTTAACGATTGTTTTAAAATATATAATCCTGTTTTAAAATTTTGAGTTTAATTAAGTTTAAATTTGAAAATTGAATTAAAATTTTTCCACAGAACACATAAACCTTATATAAGCAAACAATTAAAACAAAAAAACAGTAGGTATTGCTGATTTTCAGTCTTCACCTATAGCTATTCCTTTACTGCATCAAACCGGCAAGCTGAGTGTAAACACCAAATAATTATATAAGGCTGTGTGTGTTGCACTATATGTAAAAAGGTATAAAAATTGAGAAATTATAATAAAAAAATTCAAAAATATAGGTAAATAAATAATAATAATTATGAAATGTCGCTTATCCCCCAAAATCTTCTACAAACTATCGACCATTATGTAGTTGCACGAATATGAAAGTTTGCACTTTTATTTATTGCTAGAATAGTAATTGTCTACAATGTTAATCATCTTTATACATTACACTATACAATTGCGGGGCAGATTCTGGTGCCTGTTTTGTTGTAAAAAGACATCGAGTATATAACTAGAAATAGAGACGAAATAAGGGCCCTCCATCCCTTGCAACTCATCAGGCATTTGGGCATTATATCACTTTAAAATATCAACTCTCGATTGCGCTTAAATCACAAATTAGAAAGCTGAAATAAATAGTACAACGCCAACAACTGACCTGTGTGTATGTCTCCGTATAATCCAAAAATATTCTGTATTTATTGTAATAAAGATAATATCATGCTATTCCATTCGGTGGTGTGGTAAAAACAGCAAAACATCTAATTACAAAACAAACGGAATCACATTTAATCGGTAATTAAATATTAAATATGTAATTTTGTAATTTTCGTCCATTATAGCAAAGCTCAAGTTAAACTGTCGCTTTGAAGTGAAACAATGTATCGAATTCGGGCTGGCTAATCGGAGCACAGTTGTCACCGTAATGATTTGGCAGAATAGCTTTCAAACAAATTAAATGATATTTCGTCTCTATTTCTGATTCTCGATACAAAAAGAATACTTCTTGTTACACGTGACTTTCGAGCATTATTAGTTTTCCAATAGATGTCTCTTTTTGAAGTTTGATAGTTTACTTGCTTATTGTTGTGCTTTTAGGGTTATGTTATTATTGTTCATTGTATACAGTATTGAGCTCTTACTATATGACTATATACATATATGACTACTATAAAGTATAGTACTTCAAAAAAATAGGAGGATCTCAATCGGACTGTATTTTTTTGTTTGTATGTTATGCGATTACTCCATTTGTGAACCGATTTTGATGATTCTTGTTTTGTTGGAAAGAGTGTGCCTCAGTATTAGTCCTAAGGGTTGCAAACTAAGTGGCGAATCCGGTTTCGCGCACTTTCCGGTAACCGATTTCAATAAAACTTTGGCAAATAAATATACTTCTACGAACTTTTGAGGTCGGTTTTTTTGTTAAAGTTATATTATTTTTCATCAATTCGTGTCAAAATTTATCATAGCCCTTAAATACTGCGTTGTGTTTTTATTATGTGCCTATGTTTTAAAGTACGACTGTGTAGGTAACCTTAGCAGACTCTAATTTCGATGAAATAAAAAAAAACTTTTTTAGCATGAATCCAAAAATTTGAAATAGTAAGCCTGTGTAACGAATCTTTTTTTATGATATACTAAAGAGATTTAGAAATGTTTTTACATTAGATTCTTGTATACCATAAGCAATACTCTTTGTTGCATACTCTCTATCTATAAACGTTGTAACTTTTACATCATATTTAAATGTCTATGTACTGCTATAAAATTATATGTGATTTATACATATATGTTATTAATTTATAATGTACAATGTTATGAAACTACTCGTAATTAAACTGTTCGGGACCTTGATATTATACATTGTGTTGTTTTAAGTGTCAAGAAAAAACGAAACGTATTGGCGGAAGTTGTTGTACACATTTTTAATCCCTACCGATAATTCTCTCTCTCTCTCTCTCAAAAATGATAATAATAATACTTAGCCCTAAAAATTGTGTGCAACAAAATGTACGTTAATATAGTTTGTTTTAGAATCTAAAATCGAATCTCGCGAATTTATACGGAGAATGAATAAATAAATATGTGAACATTTATTTATTTTATTTTGCAAGGCAGTCGAAGAACGATTGTTTTAAAAAAGGAATATTAAAAAAAATATTCACAATTTACTCTGTGGCATAGTCCGATGACCTATTGGAAAATCCACGCACTTTCGAGAATATACAATATCCTGGTAGTGCCATTAAATAGTAACCAATTGCTTCATAGATACACAAGCTTGATTGCTATTTCAGAAATATTATATAGAATACATAACATTTTATACAACGAATAATAACTGTTATTCAAGCATAACAATCGGTGAAACTAGATGGTAAATCCTTTATATAATTGCACTTATTCCGATCTTTAATTGTAGGAAAACATTGTAAAAACATGTGCTGGACAGTCGATCATACTAAATTTGCCAACTGGGGCCTTCAAATTTGACGCTTATAGACGCGCGGCAGCTGCGCGTTACGTCTTACTTCACTAATTGTTACTACTAAAATGGCGCGTTTCACGGCAATGACGCTGCGACTGCGCTTCCAGATATTATAATGAAAACCGTTAGTGGCGCCACAGAGGCGCCACTGCAGCACTTCTATAAGCGTCTAATTTCATGGCGCCCTTAGGCTGGAAGAACGGTGTACAACGTTTTACCTATTCAGAGATCACGTTTTGTATGAGAACACGTTTGCATCATACAAACGCGCACTTTGTGTAAAGATAGAATGCTTTGTGCAAGTTCTCAGCAACCGCTAGTGCTCCTGTAGTCTCAGCAGTTTTGCGTATTGCACCGATGCTATATAAATGTACTAGTAACCGCCGATGAGTATGACTCAAACTAAATTCGTTCGATTTTGTCCAGTTTTATTCTATAAATAATGTAAATTAGGATCGGAAGATAAAAAGTGTACTCTACAATCTTATGAATAACATTTTCGTAATATTGCTGAGCCAATATATACAACATATCAATATTTATATTGAGGTCGTTTTCAGTCGTGCGGATTATATCGCAATAAATCGTTTTACATGCTGTGCAACAAATTTTAAAGATGCTTGTCTGATTTTCGTATAAATTAATAGACAGACTGGTATGTTGTAGTGACTGTTTTGTATTAGGCTGTTCTGCCATTGTGCTGCTAAAGTTTTCTAAAGAGGAAGCTTTGAGACTCATATTTCAATCTAAAATTTGATGATTATTTGTAACCTTTTTACAAAAGGTTTTAATAAACTGTTGGTAAATTTATAACAATATTTAGTTTTAATGTCACTAAGGGTCGTATTCTAGAACTCTACTCAATGCTCAAGTCAGGACTTGAGTATGGTTTAAAGCACTCGAAATCATACTCAAGTCCCTGCCATTAGGGTCGTATTTCCAGTGCTTGAAATCATACTCAGATCCTGACTTGAGCATTGACTAGAGTTCTGGAATACGACCCTAAGTTTATATTCCGAAAGACACTGAAAACGTCCTTATATACATATAGTAAAGCCAAATATTCTCTTTACTCATGTTAGAATTAATAAATACCAATTGTAACTATAAAGTATTTATAAATTGTCTATGTACTTATTACAAAACTAGTTTACTGTTAGCGATTACAATTTTATAAATATTGCAAGTTGATGTAAGTTGAATACTCTCGTTACTGTTGATTGTATTATCGAGTTAGTTATATTTGAACCATGCCTTGTTCCAGCGTCATCTTAATCTTTTATTTAAAATTTTAGCGTCGAAGTAAATAGTCGTGATGTGTTCGTCGTTTTGAAATTACAAAAATCCTTTATTCTCCATAACTCCGTACTTCAATCTCGAGAACCACATCACCTTGCTTAGGACGCTTTCAAATTAGACGCAAAGTAGAAGCGCTACAGCGACGCGACATAAGAATAAGAATATATTTATTGCATAACTATAGGTAATTACATATGGTCTTAAAATATTACATTGGTTTGTGCTTTATAGTTTACCAGATAAGGTGTACAATATTATTAAATGTCACAGATTACATTACAATATGAAAGAAAAAAAAACAATTATTAATAAACATGTCACATCGCTAGTCACCAAATTTGTCATTGTCGTCAAAAAACTCTTGTACACTATAATAAAGTTTAGTACTCAACCAGTTACTAAGAGCATTTTTAAATTTTACGTACTCGAAATTTTTAAATTCATTCGGGATGCTGTTGTATATCTTGACCGACATTACGTAAAAGCTTCCGTGGTAAAATGCTGAAGTATGATTGCCCGAGTAAACCATTCTATAGACATCGATATCTAAGCTAAGTACTGAGGTTCGTGAGGTCATAACGCTGGAACAATGTTGTTCCAGAGCGAGTGATATAGCAGCCTAATACGTAATGACAACGCTAAAATTTTAAATACTCGATTTTGGTGACGCCGTTACAACGCGCTCGTATTTTAATAAACCATTGACATTGTATAATGTGTTTCATTTATTTATGACATGTATATTATACATATATTTAGTAGCAGTAGAGCTCCTTGTGAAAGAGTTCGTCCAGGGAAGTACTGCCTGCCACCTGTACTCCGGTTTTGAAGGGTAAGGGTGCTGGTGAAATTACAGGCACATGGGACTGTCAACTTATGTCTCAGGGTGACGGGCGCAGTGGTAGTGCCCCTCAGATATTTGCAAACCTTACCCATGGCCTTATTCAGAGTGGCGACATGCGCGGTTAGAAATTGGCTCGGTTCGCTCGTACCTTTCACAGTACTTGGTCTGGAACACAAATTACTACAGCCAAGCAGACACTTACATACAGAGTGTAAGGTACAACATGGCAAATTGACATCGCAATAAGAGTTGGACTCGATTAGGGGAAAACTAAAATCCATACAAAATTGCATTATTAATACATTTAATCACCCAAATCAAATTAAATTAATGATTATAAGTTTTGTAATTAATTAAGTACTGATTGATTCGTACTGACATGGAAAACGGTACTATTTTTTTATTGATTTTTAACTCTAAAATCTGTTTGCGATACCTTAGTCTTACCGAGCGACCTGACGCCATGAATCATTTCCAGCTGAAAACTCTGGAATAATATCCAGCGTGATCATAGTCTAATTTTTTATATTTCTTTAGTCAGGTAGAGGTCGTTATTTAATGTCTTCTACTCGCAAAAACTAGAGAGATCTGTCCTAGCGATGCGCGTCTTTGAATGATACTAATATTAATCATTCGAATGGGCAAATCATTCGAATAAGTCGAATCCAAGCACAATCATTCGACTCGAGTTGAATGATTTATCCATACCGAATGCCTTATAGTCGGTTGGGTGCACGAGTCGAATATAAATATAAATATCGGAACACCTAATTCATCATGTCCATGACAGAAAATATCCCTGTCCCCGTCACATTTGCAGTGTTTACCATATGTCAGAGAGGGCTTGATGATCACGAGCAGAAATGCTCTATGGAATCTATAGATTAATACTACTAATTAGCAATGAATGATCGTTCGAATACTAAAATTAGTAGGTTACTAATTTGACATTCGAATGACAGGATTAGCGATTACTAACGGGTCGAATATTGAAATCATTCACAATCGAGCATCGCTAATCAGACCACCGCTTGAAAATTATAAGGATGTTTTACTGTCCACGCTGGAATAGCTTATTTCACCGGCACCATCCCTCAATCTCAAGAACCACAGCTCCTAGCTCGAACCGAACTCGCAACGAAAAATCCGCGAGTAATTGGGCCCCGATTTTACGAACACCTACCCACAAGTCTAGAAAGTGTTACAAATGACGAAGTGTTTTGTTCCCAACTGAAAGACCATTTATTGCATAATGAATTCTACAGTGTAGAGGAATTTCTTTTAAAGAAATTGTAATTATAATTTAATTTTTAAATTTGGATTTATATTTTGAAAATATTTAAAAATTTAAGTCTGTTTTTGTATTTTAGTAGTTCGTGTTTTTCTTTATTTCTCTTTTAATAATTTTATTTTATATTAACAATAAAATTATTATTTGCATTAATGACGATCATGTTATCCCTTGACATTATATTTCGAATTGTGATATTATCAAATAAATGATTCTATTCTATTCTACGAGTATTCTATTCTTAGATATGATTGCACTCGTAAAAGTCGACTAAACGACAATTTTTTATCCGGACTAGTCAAATTTCAAAAACTTGAGCATGGTCACGCTGGAATTAGGAACGCAACACTGTTTATGACAATCAAATTATATTCATCAAAAGACTACAACGGTAAAGTAGGAAACTTTGGGTCAACTCATTACCTCTCTATTTTGTTGAGCACCCACAAAATAAACTTTTTGATGTCTATGCAGGCAAAGGTCTGAGTTATATAAATAAAAATCAAAGAAATGCTTCCGAATTTATTTTTAAAAAAGAAGAAACCCACACCCTTAGAAAGAATTATTTAACACCTTAATTAGAAGAAAACATGATTTTTCATTGGTATAAAACTGCAGCAATTCATTATATTATAAGCTGATTCTAAAATGCAGAAATGATGTTGGATTTATTATTACATTTTAATTATTAGAAATGAACAATAACAATAAAATTCTTTAAAGTTCAGAATAGTAATGATTTAATTGTATAATGCATGAATTTGTATGATGATTGATGATCGAATCTAACATAATTCATTAAAAAATATGGTTGTGAACTTTACATCCCTGAATACGTATTAAAACCCAATGAAAAATTTACAAAGAAATTATTATTTACGTATGAAAGAAAACTAACAAGCAAACGCACATACGTTTTGTATACAAATAATTTTAATAAGAGATACGCGTTTTAAAATGTAATTGGTTGAAAGCATATATGCCAGGCCAACGAAAAGATCGATATGCTAAATAAAACAATGAAAATGGTTAAATGAATAAGTGAAAGTATTTTCAAGTCTACGCGGATCTGTTATTTGAACATTATAAATATTTTTTTTATAAGCCCATTCTGTCCCACGTCGCAAATCTTTTTTACGAAGCTATATTCTAATTTCAGTCTATTCTCTCGAGTTTTGCAAATTAAGTATGACCAGCATATTTATTTGAAATAACTAATTTCAAAGACTTGCTGTTTTACTGTTCATTTTTCTACGTCAACTGTAGTAAAGTGAACAACCAGCCTTAGAATATAACACAATACGTAATGTACTTAAGGTACAAACAAATACGGTGGTAGTTATTAGAGCTTCAATAAGTGTCTATGTAATAGCGCATTTTTTTAAATGTCCTGTGTATTATTTAATAAAATGTCGCTGTACTTTTTGACATTACGACACTCAATCCTTTTAACTAGTTTAAATACAAGTTTACCTCAAAATATTTGGAAATTTGTCTTTTATGGGCAAATCGCTCCTAATTCATTCCAAATGTAGACCAAAGCGAGGAGTGCGAGAGCGGGGCAGTAGCGGGTTGCGGGGAGGGCGCAGGGGGACCAGATCCACCTGGCTGTGGGGTACGAAGACCTGCCGGTAGACCATTCTGGCCCATGCTTGCGCCACTCAGCAGTAGAGATGCCGGTGGTTGCACTCGGCGGCGAGACGCTAGCCCCATACGGTCCGACCCTGGAAACAAAAAGTTAGGAAGTTGAAATTTAAATCGACTTCTTATTGCTTTGGAAAATGTACGAAAGAAATAAATGTGAGGCACACAAATATTTTACCCGACTCGGGAATCGAACACGGGACCCCTGTATCAGCATGATAACCGTTCGGCCACTGAGGCAGTTATCATATCACCTGAATTTGTTTAAATTGCAAAAGCAGCCACAAAATGAAAAACAAAAAATACTAGTGAACTTTTTTAAAAATACTACAAAAAATATCTGTTCTTGTATGTGAGCAATAAAGTGTATATCTGTTTATCTAAAACACGGGATAGTTCTACTTTTGTTGGTCAGCTCAGTGTTTGTTAAAACATTTTCAATAGGATTTTAAATATGGTTTAAAGGTAATAACCAGCTTCAGTGTTGTCGGGACAATACTTGATGGTGTGCGCGCGGTCACCGGTGGCGCCGCAGCGCGGACAACGGAAGGCGCGCAGCACGGGACAAAGCACGCGCCCGCGCCAGTCTTTCAACATATGCGTCGTATAGCATTCTTCGTTCTCACCGTTGTTTTTGCAGAATGCACACTCCTGGAAAGAAATCTTACGTTACAATGCTACATATTATTATAAATCCTCTAATAAATTGACTAGTGCAACGTCAGTCGCTTTTTTAACCGACTTCAAAAAAAGGAGGAGGTTCTCAATTCGAATATATGTTACGCGATAACTCCGCCATTTGTGAACCGATTTTGATGATTCTTTTCTTGTTGGAAAGAGGGCGCCTCAGAAGTTGCCCATTTAAATTTGAATAAAATATTCGACCTCTAACGGTGGTAAACTAAGAGATGAATGACTTTTGATTTCCGTTATTTTAGTACTCTGTACTGAGGTTAGGTTATGAATGTATGTTTACATTCAAATAAAATACAAGGTTTCATAGTATTCAGCAACGGTCAACCTTGAAGGTACGCGTAATCTGTCTTATTAAAAATAAAATTCATTACCATCCCACCAATAGACGGCCCCTGATTTCATGTTATATAACAACGACAAGTGCTTAATTTTCGATAAATAGGTATAGAATTTAATTTAAAGAAATTGTCACAATATTATTGTAGAAGACTTTCAGATAAATTACATACACTCACATTGGGCAAAGCGCGCCGCATCCGCTTTTCGCTGCGCAGCTTGGCGACCTCTTGCAGAAACTCGTACAAAAGACCGGGTCGGATGGACCGTAGCACCGACAACTGTTCACGCGTCAGCATCGATACGTAGTTGTTCGCCGATGTCAGACCTAAGATCACGTGATTGGGCTCAATATCGTATAACCGCTTTTGATATAGTTTCGGTCCTTATGGCGACTCTTGAGTCTTGTGATTCATAGAAAAATGTCAAGAAAAATGGCGAAGAAACTAGCGTATCAGAAAAACTCACAGAACATTTTTAAGATTTATAAAGACTTCTTTCCGAGTTGTAGCCGCCAGACCCAATTAGAAGATGTAATAAAATTAAAAATGATTTAAGTTGACTGTAATATACTGGCAATAGGTTACTGGTGTACAGAAGTAGTGCCATTAATCGCTAAATAGTGGTGGTTTCTTACAGAAGTACAATTCAAAAGTAAACGTTCTTTTTAACCTTTTTTAGTTCGTATAAAAAGTTCGTTAAATTGTGGTAGGGATGAAATAACACGTATGTGGTGTTAGTTGATTGGTTCAAAATAGAACTCCCGGCCTACGTAATGTTCCCTCGACGAGCGTTTAGTTAGTTACTGCTTCGAATATTAAATATTATTACAAAAATTCTGTTGCGTTCGCAACACGAGTAAAAAAATGGGTATGTTAATTTGCGATTCTGAGATTACCAACAAATTTTTGCGATCGACATCCGCCATGTTTTTCGAAATTTCTCTCCAGTAACTTCTCCATTGAAAATCGGACAAAATTAAATAAAACAGAAACTAACTTTTGACAAGGAAGTCGAACGTATCAATGGTTTCATTGTTCCTGCCCGATGAGACGCCCGAATCCGTCCACATGTTGGTGTTTGACGACACTACAGATTCTGCTCTGCTGCCACCTATGAAGATTTATTAAGGTGTATTATAAAAAAGTTGCCACGACTTCGCAAGTTCAAGTTTGGAATTAGATCTTTCCAGAAAGGGAAAATTTGCCATACATCTCACGCACCTTCAATACCCATTTGGTAACGTAAGGAGACGCTGCCCGTTTCATGAGTTTGTCTCTCACAATTAATGTGTGTCAATGAAAAACACGTGCTTGTGTTGTATGGTTTGTCGAAAGGAACTAACACTCAAACATTGGTTTTTTTTTTAAACAAAATCCAAAAAACAAATTAAATGATTGTAAGCATTCTTTCGACAAGAAAGACACGGAGAAAACACAATGTAACTTACCAACATAAAAGTTGTGAGTGCTGCCAACGTCATCGAACATCATGTCGGAGCCGTTCATTCGGAAGTTCATCATGTCGATATCCGCCGTAGATGGAGCTGCATATATCAAAACTTACTAAAGCACATACCCTGGTGAGACACTTATCGGTAAACATAATAAGATACCTACTACCTTATGTTGACAAAAGTAAAGAGTTGTGTTTTTCAAATTGATCAGACTAAGATCACTTCACTCACATGTTCATTGGCATGGTGATATTAGCGAGTGCTCGGAATTGCTTAAATAGTGTTGTGCCGTTCGCTTATGAACCACAAATCCAAAATCACAAATACAACGACAAATAATTCTGTAAACACACACATACTGAGCTCTCGCTAATGTCACTATAGTCTACACTTAAGTATGTATGTCGAACTACCTACAAGCTCGTTTCCTTGTTAAAACTTGTACCTTACGTAATTTTGCATTATTGAAAAAGTGACAGTTTGTACTGTACCTATGTATAAAATAAATAAATAGCACATAATCACATTCTTAAAAAGAATAGAATGATATCTTTAAAGGAATAGCATAACATACATTCTTAAAGTAATCAAATAAAAGAGGACTTTGCCATGCATCAAGCCAATTAATGTTATTTAAACTTGTATATAGCTCTGGTCCTTATGCTATGTGTATAAAAATATATAACAATCTTCTTTTAAGCATTAAAAATAAGGTCAACAATAAAACCTTCATTAAAAAACTTACAAAATACTTGGTCCAAACACTTTTTAAACGTTGCAAGAGTGTTCGAAAGCACAGATTAAAATAATATGATGACCTATAATTTAAAAACAAAAACGATGTAATAGTTTTGTTTTTTTTTTTGAATAGGTATTAGAACAATGCATAATTAATTTTTTTAATTTAACTCATACTATCAATACTTTAATTATTTAAATTACTTTTTTTACTTAATTTAACAATCATTATATAAAGTATTTAATTATTATCATTATTTTTTTTTAATATTGTTTAAAAGGATGAAATTTATTTTAAGTCATACAAATTGGAGTGGCTTGCATTGTTACATGGCTGTACGAGTACTTTATATTATGTTAAGAAATTATATTGCCCATGTAACGCAATTAATAAATGAATATGAATATTGAAGGAAAATACTGTGCCACCATTTCAAAGCAGGTTAATAAAGTTTTTTAATTTTAAAAGTGTGAAGTTCGCTTTAAGCTGTTTTTAAACCTCTGTGAGGACTAGTCTCCGGCAATAGGACTTCTAAGTCGTATACAAAAGTTTACCACAAAGTAATAAAGTTACCGGTATCTCCCACGCGCGGCTCCTGCTGCCCCATGAGAGTAAGCAGGTCGTTCTCATTGCGGTCCTGGTACTGCGCTCCCAATTGTGAAAATACGTTCTCAGACTGACTGGTTATAGTCCTTGTGTCTGATGGTGGTGATGGTGCAAATGTCTCCTGCGAGAGAGATTACTACCCTAAAATAGAGCGGTGAACCCGAGCTACTAACTGCCATGTTAGATATTTCCTTGTACTATGAGTGCCAGAGTAAAGCCCCTTATCTAACAAAGCAGAAGAGAAAGAGTTGTGATTCAGCAACTAATAATATTTTAAAACGAAATGCTATTGATTGACGTAACACACGCAGCTTTTCTGTTCCTATTGTTAGATGACGGCCGCCAAGTCTCTGAGAACGGAAGATTTCCAAATTGTTTAACCGGCAATCGAACCCGGTATCAATGCTCAAATATTGATTGTCCTATCACCAGTCAAAAGACCTGGACTTATCTCGAGCTCCACCGTGCCTTTTCCACCAGTCGCGTCGTCAGACAAAATAATTAGGTGAAACTCCCCGGAAAGATAAGTTTCGATATTTCATACATAAATACGAGTATTTCTAGTTTACATAGTTTTCTAATTTTGTCAAATAATTCATATATCACTCAATTGAAAGTATTAAGCATTTGAAATAAATAATAAATTGCTTACCGTTGTTCTTGTCACTTTAGTATCACTGGCAGTCGTAAAAATAGGTTTTTGCTCGTCCATATTAAAGTTATACGACATGGAATCCATAATTAAAGTAAAATTTGGAGATATTGCAAAGAAATAACAAGCAAACTTCTCTCCCTCGCGTCTGCAGTTGAAAAGAACATTCTCGTAGCAAACATCACAATTTATACAAATAAACTGGTTCTAACATTCATACACATATCGCTGCTTATAAGTACTTTCAAAGACGGATATTGAAACTACCCTCAAAAGGCATAAATTTGGTACGGACATGATGCGTAAATTCATATAAAAAGTCATTTACAAAAATATTTGATAGGTATTTGCCTTGGCTTTGTTTCTGTTCAAAACATACAATTCATGGTCAAATACGACAACAGCTTTTCTCAACTCATCGTCAAATCCACCAACTGTTGAGAATTTTGTGAGCAGTATAGAAAATTGTACTTGTTTATATTATATTATATTATTTATGTGTGTTGTTTGTCGTTCGACCTTGGCATATTAAAATTTATTATAGCTCTTAGGGTTTCGCGATTCCACATACACATTGGAAATGAAAATTTTTTTTTTATTCTAAATCGCGTACAATTTGTTTTTTAAATAAGTAAATAAACGTTTTGTGCTCTTTACAGGTTCCATGGTCACGAATGTGTATAGTTTAAGGTTACAAATTCTTTACAAGTGGTAGGTTTCCTGTGTGGAATGCGTCTAAGTAGGTACCCAACCTATTTCTTACGCAAAGCAGCACCGATTCTTGCTTCAATTTGAAACGTATGGTGAACCAACGCAATCACAGGTACAGAAGACTCAAGATATGAAATCGCAAGACGTCTAACGCATATGCGATATTTAAGGATATTTTACAACCTAGTCTGCCGCGGGATCCTGTTAGCGGGTGCAGGTGTAAGTAGGGGAGTCCATTGTCATGGTTCATCGGGGCTTATCTTTAGTTATATAACGAGGAAGTTAATTCGCGTGACTGCAATTTCGCGTAGAGGATATAGGTATACCATGTGATGTCGGAATGGGCACAATTCGAGACACGCGGGAGCTAGTTCGTATATGCAGTTCCATACTCTTGAACGCGATAATGTCTATTACGATGTCCTTTATCACCCGATTATATAAAATTAGTAGATAGTTAAATTAATAGGTTATGCAGATTATTCTATTGTTCTGTTCTACTCTGTATGATTAAAATGCATTATGTATGCCTATAAACTGGTAATCAATACACCCATTGGAAAAAATTATCATTAAGTACGAATTGTCGAAATTTTTTTTAACCATTCTTCACTAATACTAAAAATTGTAGGCAGATGAAGCGTTATTGTTTCAGTTCTTGCATATTTCGTAGACTAAAACTTTACTGTAATAAATAATCCTTCTTCTTTATAGAAAGAAATTAATAGTATTATATCCTCCTTGGATAGCCGAAGATGGAAGGCGACGGTGGAGATGGCCGAGAAAGCGTTGGCGGGACGATCTTGATGGGTTTGAGGAACATTCCTCAGGAAATCGCCAAAGACTGGGAGCACTGGAAGATTTTGAGGGCGACCTTTGCTCAGCAATGGGACACAATAGGTTAATAAAAAAATATTATTATCTATAAATTTTTATAACAAAAAACCTACTTCAAAAGTTTGCATATCCGCTTTTGCTGTGTTCGTTACATCTATTTGCCAAGTTTTATTGTAATCGGTTAGCGTAAAGTGAGTGTAATACAATAAACTGGATTCATCCCCTAATTTGCCACCTTTAGAGGTGGAATATTTTCGTTAAAATTGAATGGGACTGTCTACTACTGAGGTACCCCCTTTCAAACAAAAAAGAATCATCAAAATAGGTCCACAAATGTCGGAGTAATTGAATATAACATACACAAAAAGAAAACGGTCGAATAGAGGACCTCCTCCTTTTTTCAAGTGGATTAACCGATTTTTAACAACGATCTTTGGTTATCACTTTCCAAATTTCGTGATTTCGGACTAATTTGTTTATTAGTCGAAAGTGTTTTTAAATTTAGGTACCTGTTCCATGTCAAAAAAACGTAATTATTGTGCGATCAAAAATCGTCATTTTGTTGGTTCAGTCATTACAACAAGTATTTTGAATTGCAATAAAACAGGAACAGCGATTAATAATAATAGTTTATTCGAGCTTAAAAAAATTATAATCCATAATTAATTGCGATCTCTGAACAGTTTGCAGCGGTATTCGATGTAGCCTTCTTGAGGCCTGCTCTCGTGAGCCTGGCATTTAAGTCCGGCTTTACAGGAACAACTAAAATAAAACGCAACAATTAAAAACTTTAAAAAGTCATTATAATTTTGTTGTTAATTTTAATGACAATAAAGTAGAAATTGTTTTATTACAGAGAAAAATATAGAAATCATGTTTTCTAGTCTGCGACATAGCTTTCCTTTAAAAGCATAATACACGAATGACATATGACGAAATGTCATTTAATTTGTTTGAAAACTTCTGCCTAATCATTACGGTGACAACTGCGTTCCGATTGGCCAACCCGAATTCGAAACAATTGACAGGTGTCGTCAATTGTTTCTCTTCAAATCGACCGAGCTTTACTATAATGGACGAATTTGCAAAATTATATATTTAATTACCGATGAAATGTAATTTGTATTTGTATTTGTGTATTATATGTGTATATGTGTATAAAATGTATTTTTTTATTAGATGTTTTGCTGTTTTTCCCACACCACCGAATTAAATAGCCCCATTATTAGAGATATTATCTTTATCACAATAAATACAGGTTATTTTTGGGATATACGGAGACGTACACACAGGCAGAGAACAAATAAGTAATGAGAACGAACACTCCGCCGCTCCCTAGCTTTAGATACCGCACCACACTCCGCATATTGACGGTCACATTAACTGAACGAGAACAAGGCTGTCGGCGAGCCGTTTTCGCGCTAAAACGGCTTTGACATTTGAATATAGTTTTCATTTATTCATTACGAAATTTGTACGTTAATATATTAGGGGTTAAAGTATGAAATTGCCGTTTTATTGCAATAGGTTCTTTGAATTTTCATAGAATCTTCATGGTTTGAGGTTTTCGAATGAAACTTTTTTCAAATGGTTTCTGTGATTTTTTTTTTTTTTTAATTTGAAACATTTGAATATCGACTTTCAATTGTTTTTGTTATTCAATTTAGACAAGAAAGATGGATACTGCGAAAATTCGAGTGATTTTTGAATACGAGTTCCGACGCGGAACTAACGCGGCAGAAACAGCCCGCAATATCAATGCTGCGTTTGGAGAGGGGTCTACTAATGAACGCACCGTGCGATTTTGGTTTAAACGCTTTCGTGATGGAAATTTCGACTTAAAGACCGAGCCACGAGGAAGACCGCCCACACAGGTGAATAATGATGAATTAAGAGAGATAGTGGAAGCCGATCCTAGTCAAACTACCCAGGAATTAGCGGCATGGTTTAACGTTACCTTACCCACAATATTGACTCACTTGCGTCAAATCAATAAAATAAAAAAATACGAAAAATGGGTGCCTCATGATTTGACTGATCTGCAGAAAGAAACGCGTGTTGAAACTTGTGTTGCCTTGTTGAACCGGTACAGAAATGAAGGAATATTGGATCGAATTGTAACATGTGATGAAAAGTGGATTCTTTATGATAACCGGAAAAGAAAAATGCAATGGCTGACCCCAGGTCAAATGCCACAACAGTGTCCTAAAGCAAAACTTACCAATAAAAAGGTAATGGTAACTGTTTGGTGGTCTCAGCATGGTGTTATTCACTATAGTTTTCTCCGATCTTGTCAAGCAATAACGGCAGATGTCTATTGTGCCGAACTCCGAACCATGTTGACAAAACTAGCAGTAAAACAGCCCCGACTCATGAATCGATCTTCACCATTATTGCTCCACGACAACGCGAGACCTCACACAGCACGAGAAACCATTTTGACCCTTCAGGAACTGCAGTTTGAAACCATTCGTCATCCTCCGTATTCACCAGACCTTGCTCCAACGGACTACCATTTTTTTCGTGATTTGGACAATTATCTACGTGACAAGAAGTTTTCTTCCCAGGAGGCAGTACAAAATGCTTTCACACAGTTTGTGCAGTCTAGATCGTCGGAGTTCTATCGCAAAGGCATTAATAACCTTCCCATTAGATGGCAGCAATGTATAGATAATAATGGCAACTATTTTGATTAAATAAATTTGTTAAAAATTTAAAAAATAAACAATTTAGATTTTCAGTACAAATCGGCAATTTCATACTTTAACCCCTATTATAACATCATTTTACGTTACTATTAAAATGGTCGTGAATTGTGCTGTGTATGGCTGTTTATCATCATCTAAACGGGATAAAGAGAGGAGTTTCTTTCGTTTTTTGAAAGATGAAACGTAGTAAGTAGATAAACTTATGTCTGAGACTCATTCAGTTATTGTTTTCTTTAGTGCAGAGTATATAATACGGATTTATTGTATCAATATAATAAGACGCCATAACTTCGTGAGCTAGACAAGGGTTTTCGGATTTTCAAGTTTTATTTCCCATAACTATTACGTAGTGAATATAATTATTAACTAGGTAATGATAAAGTTGGACACGCAATTCAAATACTTTGGTTACCTTTTTTAAAGGTACCTGTCGTAAGCTTTTAATATGTTTTTTAAATAAATCTTCAACATTATTCTAGTTATTAAATTAATGAAAAATATAACATTATATCGATATAAATACGTAATGAACATGTGTAATTATTAGGATTCTATAATAGAATTATAGATAACAGATTCGTGTTAGAATTTTCGCTATGTTGCCGCTCTGACCACGTAACGTAATAGTACGAGCAAGTGATAGGTAACCCTGCCACTTCACGCGTACATTTGCGCGTGTGCAGATAGCGCCTTGCTGTATGTAGTAGTAGTAGGTAAATAATTTTCCACCGTTGTATGGAGTGTCCGGGGTGTGACACAGGTCAGTTGTTGGCGCTGTACTATTTCAGTTTTCTAATTTGTAATTTCAGCGCAAAGAAGAGTTAATATTTAAAAATGATATAAGGTCCATTTGCCTGACGAGTTGCCAAGGATGGATGGCTCTTCG